CTCTACACCCAACATGGGGTTTGAGCTTATAACCTGAGATCAAGAATTGCCTGCTCTTCTGACTGAGCCAGCCAGGTGCTCCTGAGGAGGTGGCCTTTAAAGTGCCATATGAATGACATGAAGTTAGCCATAGGATCTCAGGGAACAACATTTCCTAAATAGGAGCAGATTGGCACAAAGGCAGGAATGACCTTTGTGCAATTGAAGAATGAAAGTTCAAAGAGTCTGGGGCTTAGTAAACCAAGGGGAGAGTGGATAAACAGATGGCAGAGAAGTGGGCAGGGCCAGATGCACAGGGTGTGTGAACCAGGAGAAAGCATTTGGATTTTATTGTGATTGTAATTGAAAGCTTCAGTGAAGGAGGACAGTGACATTATTCGACTTGTATTTTAAGAAGTTGTTCCTGGTTGCTCTGTAGTTTATGGATGATAGGGAAGCCAAAGTAAAAACAGGGGGACTGACCAGGAAGCTCTTATAGTGGCCTGGACAGGGGAGGAAGGTGCTGCGGACTAGGGCGAGAATGGAAAGAAGTGGCAGATTTAGGATTCGCTTTGGAGGTAGACCTGTGGGATTTTCTTTCAGATGGGTTGGCTGGAGGAAGGGGAAGTGGTAACATAAAGAGAGAAATCAAACTCCAAGATTTTTGGTTTGATCCACCTAAGTTCCTGGTAGAAGTATATAGAAAGACAAGAAAACTGGCAGAGGAGCACTTCGAAAATAAAAATGAAACAGTTTTGTTTGGGCCACGTTCAGCTCGAGATGCTCATTAGACACCCAAGGAGAACTAGGTAGATGGTTTGTTGCAGGGGCTGGAAACCTGGGGAGAGGTCAGTGCAGAAGATATAGACTCGGGGGTCTTGGGCAGACAGATGAAATTTAAAGCCAGGGGACTGGTTGAGACCACTTCTAGGCTCTGGGGGGCAGGTGAAAAGAGGGGCCCTAGAACAGAGAAGGGACACTCTAACATTAAGTTATGAGACGTCAAAGGAGTCTGAGAAGGAATGGTCATCAAGGAGAAAAGCCAGAAAGTGTATTGTCAAGGCAGCCAAGAGAATAGAATGATTTAAGGAGAGAGTAGTTGATTGTTCCCAATGTCAGTAAGAGTCAAAGTCAAAGCAATAAGTTGTCTGTGGATTGGGCAACAGGTAGGTCATTAGCATTAACGTGAGTAGTCTCATTGGAGTAGGTGAGAAGGAGGTTTGACTAGAGAGAGTTAAGAAGAAAATGCAAGGTAAGACAGTGAAACCGCCATAGGTGTGAAAGCCGTTGTGGACAAAGACCAGAGAAGAGAAAGAAGTTGGGGGAAGGGTAACAAGAATGCTGCCCATTCATGTTGAGTGGCTCTCTGAACTGTGTGGCTAATTGTTTTTAAGTTTACTTATTTTGAGAGAAGGGGAGTGCAGAGAGGGGCAGAGAGAGAGAATCCCAAGCAGTTTCCCAGCTGTAAGCACAGAGCCCAGAGCCTGACTTGGGGGCTAGATCTCAGGAACCGTGAGATCATGACCTGAGTCCAAATCAAGAGTTGGATGCTCAACTGAGCAGCCACCCAGATGCCCCTGAGGTCTGTGGCTATTAATGTAAAATGAGCACAATAGCCCCAGGGGTATGTGTGTTCCTCTAACGATATTCAGCTGCTCCTGTGCAGCACCCAGAAGATGGAGGGTCGGGTTTGGGTTCTGCTAGATGAAAACAAAGGAGGAAGTAGAAGGAGGTGAAGATGTTAAGCATATTCATAAGGAGGGGAGGTGGCTATGAAGTTGGATCATGGCTTTAAGTTAGGTTTTGATGGAAATGAGGATGCTAGGGAAATGGTTGATGGTAAGAGAGAGGAGCCTCTGGAGTGGAGATCTTGATGGAGTCAAAGAATTAATGGAATATTGATGTAAGAGAGCTGAATAGATAGGAATTAGTGGCCAGACAGAGTAAGCAGTTATGGGTGGGAAAATGCTAAATTAGTGAAGGGTATTCTTACATTATTATGTCTCACCCATATTTACTTTTGAGCAACTAAGTCCTCTAGTGTATTATTCCAGTCATAGCATAAGGTGCAGGGGAGCACACAAGCTTTTGAATAATGCATCTAGCTGAGCAGATGAGTCTCTTGTATTATTATTATATTAATTACATAACAATTATATTATTATTTTAATTATATATATCATTATATTAACTATATATTATAATATTATTATATTCCACAGGAGTGGCACTTGTCTGGCTCAGTCAGAATAGTGTGCAACTGTAGATCTCCGGGTTGTGATTTCAAGCCCCACGTTGGGTGTAGAGATTATTAAAAAGAAAAAAAGATCCCACAGAATTCCAGTGTAGAAGGCCTTAGCATGTGACATTAACAAGCAGCTTTAAACTGAATAAATTTTTGAAAAATAAAAAAAGAAACAAATGTCACTTTAAAAAGAAAACCTGTTTCCTTTCTCTACTTACAACCCCTCCTTTTTAAAAAAGATTTTTAAGTTTTATTTTTAAGTAATCTTGACACCCAACATGGAGCTTGAACCCACAACCCTGAGATCAAGAGTCACACGCTCTACTAACTCAGTCAGAAACCCCTACTTCTAACACTTCTAACACCCAATGTGTGGGGTTTTATTCCACACCAAGTAATTTGCCAACTCTCTGGACCCCAGCTGGGTGTCCTACAATTTAATTCAGTTCTGATACCAACTACCTGGAGCCAGGGCAGACCCTCCAGTCTCAGCGCTCAGTCCCACAAGATTGGCCCCCACTTCAGACACCAGTCACAAGTCTCAGGTTGTCGCCTTTACTTTGGACCAGTTGGCTATAAATTGGGCGTTCCCACAACACCCTCCTCAGGTTTGATACCTTGCTATAACAGCTCACAGAACTTAGGGAAACACTTTACTTACCGTTACTGGTTTATTATAAAAGACGCCACTCAGGAAGGGATTCGTAGGGCAAGATGTGGGGGAAGGGTGAGGGGTTCCCTGGTCTCTGGGCATATCATTCTTCTAGCATCTTGATGTGTTCACTGACCTGGAAGCTCTCAAACCTCAGGGCTTAGGATCTTTACAGAGGTTCTACTTCATAGCCATAGTGGATTAAATCAATGGCCGTTAGTGATTAACTCTTTCAGTCCCTCTTCCCTACGGGGGGGGGAGGGGGGGGCTGAAAAATTGCAACCTAATCATGCCGTGATCTTTCTGGACATTAGCTCCCATTAGAAAGCTATCTAGGGACCTCCAACCACCAGTCATCTCATTAGCACACAAAATGACACTCCAGAGGCACCTGGTGGCTCAGTCTGTTGAGCATCCCACTCTTGACTTCGCTCAAGTCTTGATTCCAGGGTGCTGGGACTGGGTCCTGTGTTGGGCACTGAGCTGAGCAGGTTCAGTGTTCCACCCTGATTCTCTCTCTCTCCCTCGCCCCTCTCCCCTGCTCACTCTTGCTCTCTCTTCCAAGGGTCTTAGAAGCTTTGATGTCAGGAATCAGGGTCAAAGATTAAATATTAGAACAAAAGATGCTCCTAGCATCCTGTCAGTCAGGAAACTACGTGGGTCTTAAAAGCTCTGTGTCAGGAACTTGGTACAGAGACCAAGTATATATTTATTATGCCACATAGTTTTATCACTCTATTTTGGTCAAAGTATTTCCCATGTGGTCTGAAAATAAAGCACCCTCTGTCTGGAAAGACAGAGAAGGGTGTGCTTTGCTATGTTTGTCTGGAAATATTTAGGTGCAATAATCAATAGTGATTAATAATGTATTAGTTTTTGGTATGAGTATTTTGCTGCACTGTAGACACACTAAAAAACAGAACAAGTTTGGAATAGAAACATAGTATATCATATGCTTTACACTTTAGAAAAAGCACTTGCACATTAATTCATTTGAAAATAGTATTTGCTGCCTCTTTTCAAACAATCTGGAAGTACTTTCCAAAAAGCACTCCATTCATTGCTTGGATAGACAAGGTCCTTCTTTTCCTATTTAAATGATATTACAGTTTTCTCTCTTATTCCCTGGGTAAAACTTCGGAACCTCTTAGCTTGTGAATATTAGCAGAATTGTAGGACTCTGGAGCTGTGATTTTTGAGTTTAGATAATGCCATGGAGCCTGGAAGTCAGTTTGAAGTCCACGTCCTTGGTATGGCACACTGTTTATCTGTGACCTTATTATTTTTTCTTTATGAAACAAACGCATTGTTAATTCAATTCATATACCTATTATCAGAATAGGACTTAGAATTCTTAGGAGACTGGGCCACACATGTGCTTTAGAAAGACAAAGTGTATTACGTTAGCGACATCAGTCCATTAAATATTGTTGTTATGGTCCAGAAAGGAGAACCCTAAACTTCTCTTGCCAACTCAAATTCCAGTTTCTTCCTATCCTTTATTCCGATTCTTTACTTTCTCTTTGCCTGAAATTAGAAGCAAAAAGGGAGTAGAAAAAGGAAAGCAGGGGTTGAAGAGGAGGAGGAAAGCCCAACAGGCAGGTTAATCGTGTCTGCGATTCTCTGCTTCGGCCCAGGGGCTAAGCGTTTCCCGCAGAAATGGAAGATCCAGTCCAGGCTCGGTCAAGACCAGGTTCACGCTCACAAACCTGACCAAGCAGCCTGAGGTGCGGTTGCAGGTACCCTCCCAGCAACCCCTCCCGCCGCCGAGGTCTGGGATCACCCCAGGCCGCAGGCCAGGTCTCCCCACCCGCCTCCCCAGCGGGCACGCGGTCGGGGCGCGGGCACGGCCTCTGACGAAGCGCGGGCGTGCGCTCGGCGGCCGCGGCGTCCCTTTGCCCGCCGGAAGGAGCGGCGGCGCCAGCGTCCTGCCGCCTGTCCGTCACGCAGCCGCCCACGCCACCGTCGCTTCGGATTGGTCACAGGCCCGGGCCGGGCCCCTTAAGGCCCCGCCCCCCGCGGATGGACAGGCCGGGAGGGCGTGGCGGCGGCGGGCGGGTCCGCCCAGCTGTCAGTTACAGGGGCGGCCCGGCCGGCGGGCGGGCGCTCGCTGGCTACCTCGTCTCTCGCTCGCGCGCGCTCCCTCTCGCCGCCTGTGGGGAAGTCGGGGCCGCCCGAGCGGCTGCCGCCACCGCCTCGCCCCGACCTCCTCCCCGGTCCCTTCCCGGCTCAGTCTTTCCCTCCCGCGCACCCCCGAGTAGTGAGTGGTCCCGCGTAAGGTCCGGAGAGTCACCGCGGCGGCCCGGGTGGTGTTTAAACCATGTTTAGGAGGATTTTGCAGAGGGTAAGAGAGTGAAATCGTCTTTCCGGCAGCACGTGAGCGGGAGAGCCCGAGCCCGGGGCTGCGGGCGCCGCCGCCGCCGAGCTGAGGAGCCCGGGCGGCGGCGCGGGCGCCCCTCCCCAGCGCGGGCGCCTACCTCCTGTAGGCCCCGCAGCCCGGGAGGCGGGTAGGCCTCGGCCGTCCGTCCCGGGGGCGGGCCGCGGAGGCGGGTGGGGCGGCGGCGGGCGGCAGGCCGGAGCCCGGGCCGGCGCCGAGTCCCCGGCTACCCGCGCGCCCAGGCCCCGCGCCGCGCTCCCGCGCGGGGCTGTCAGCGCGGCGGGCGGCGGGGCGGGAGGGTGTGGTGCCGGCGCGTTCCTTCCCGCTCCGGGAATGGCCGCGCAGACGGAGAGTTAGTGCGCCCAGACGGGCGGGGAGCGCCGCGTGGGAGACTGCGGGAGGCTTGCTCAGCCTCTGCATCCTCGGCGCCCCGCAACTCCGCACGCACCTGCCACCCTCGGCTGCGGCTTCTCAGCCGGACGGCGCGGCGGGCCGATGTGGTGAAACCCGGCCTAGCTCGGGCCCGATCGTGGTACCGACACTTACGGGCAAAGTCAGCCGAGAAAGAAGATCTTACTCACGGTTGGAAACTTTCTCCCTCCCGCCCCTCCTCCCCCCAGTAAAAACGCGTTTCCCCCTCCCAGCCCAGGACCCTTTTTGAGCTCTCCCAAGAATAAATTCGCAGGAAGCCTCATCCAGTGATACACACTTAGTCCTTCACTGTCTGCCACGGTCTCCCTATTGGAAATCGGGGGGTGGGGTGGGGTGGGGTGGGAAGAAAACCCATAAGATATAAAAATAAGAACATCGGAAAGCTGTGGGTGTGTTGTTTAGATATCAGTTCCTGGAATAATAGGGTATCTTTTCCTACAAGAGTTATTGTACTCAAGGTTTTGTTTTGGATAGTTTTTGTTTTTTGTTTTTTTTGGAAAGTGCTAGGGTGCAACCAGATGTAAGTGATTGAAAAGTTGGGGCCAAACTCATTAGTCTCAGTTGGTTGCTGAGGGAGTAGCCTCACTGGTTCAAAGGACGAAAGAAATTAGTGAATTTGTAGTATTCGGCCAAGGAATGTGCCAAAGACAGTTGAGTCATCCACTATATGGAAAGGGAGTGTTCTTGGCACCGGCCTGGCTTTGTGAAATGTTCAAGTCATGTGAAACTTGGTCATCCATCAGGGGCAGAAATAGTTAACTTTTGTGTCTACCGCCCTGTATTGACATTTGATGATTTTTTTTTTTTTTTTGCAGTGGGTTTATCAGAGTTTTTAAAAATCTTGATAAGCTGATGATTTTGGCAGCAGCAAGGGCATGCCCTTTACCCTCGCTGCCAGTTCCTGTGCTCAATAGTAAAGACATCTGGGCAGGATTTGCTTGTAGTACGTGGAGATTTTTCTTTTATGGGACCTGGAGGAACTGATGATCTCATGCTTCAGATTGTGTTTCTGTCACAGTTCCACATCTGAAAATGGTTTGCTTTAAATTTTATAAATAAAACAAAGTGTTTACTGACTTACACGAGCAGCTTCTGGTAGGGTTGCCTGACTGGCTCAGTCCGGGGAGCATGCGACTCTCGTGCTTGGGGTGGTGAGTTCGAGCCCCACGTTGGGTGTAGAGATTAATTAAAAAAAGATTAATACATTTTAAAAAAAGAGTAGTTTCTGCCAGTTATAGATTAGTTTTCAGCAATATGGGATATTTTCCAGTACTCTTGGTTTAATGTTGTGAAGCATTACCATTATATAAGGACTATTTTTATATAAAGACCACGTGTTGGCACGTACACATCAACTGTTACAGAAGTTTTAATTAAAATTGCAAAATTGGAATTTATTCTGATTATTATTAAGATGTGAGGTAGAGTCATCACATGACTAAGTCAGTTGAAAACTGAACTTTCTTAACCAAGGCACTATTGACATTTGTGACTGGATAATTCTTAGTTGTGGGGGGCTGTCCTTTGCATTCTGAGATGGTTAGCAGCATCCCTGGCTTCTACTCACTTCAGGCCAGTGGCACCCTTCCCTCATTCCCTTTCCCCTCTTGTGACAACCAGAAATATCACCATGCTTTCCCATTTTCCCCTATGGACAAAATCGCCCTTGATTGAGAACCACTGTGTAAAATATGTACACTCTTTTATACATATAAAATTTGAAATGATGCCCAGTTACTTTTTGTTTCTTGTGTATTTATTGAGTGTCAGTAAATGTCAGACATATGCAAGGGGCTGGGAAGCACTTAATAATGGGGGTCCGCCCTTTCAAACTCACAGCCACATTGGGGATGTAGACATTTAAAAGTAATTACAAAGTGGCCCTGAGTGCCACTCTGTGTCAGGATGTTGGGACCATCAGGAAAACCTCTGATAGGAGGTCATGTTCCCACAGTGTATACTTTATTAAGTCCACAGGTGGTATTTACCAACAAGTATAACTAGAATCTTTAAATTATGTAACATGGCAACCATTTTATTTTACCCCACCCTGATAATCTTATTTCTCAGCAGAGGTAATAAGAAATAAGATTAAGATGGAAGTTGCTAATTTAGAGATTTGTTTGAAATGGTCTCCATGCTTTAATATTGTATTCCTTTAACATTCTCTTTTTAGATGACCTTTTCATTTTAGCTGTTATTTTCTTCTGAATAGTGTCCTTTAGAAAGCATTTTTAAAGAAGAAACAGACAATGTGCTTACAATCAGTTGTAACTGAGTCACTGAACATCACCAATAAGGTCCCAGGATACTTTACAGAAAATGTTTCTGTTTTCTTCCCTGTCCCCCCCTTTTTTTTCCCCATTAGCTTACTACTGTAAGTGATCTTTCTGAGGCTTGAAAGAGTCTGAATTAGAAAAAAAAAGTTTTTTTATGGTAGCTTCAGTATGTATGTATTGACTATTTTGCTTAATGGTCCTTTGAAGAGAAGTATGGATTTACAGTGCTTGATGACCATGGGGCGCCTGGCTGGCTTAGTTGGTGGAGTGTGCGATTCTTGATCTCTGGGGTTGTAGGTTTGAGCTCCACGTTGGGTATAGAGATTACTTAAAAATAAAATCTTAAAGGGGCACCTGGGTGGCTCAGTCGGTTAAGCGTCTGACTTCGGCTCAGGTCATGATCTTGTGGTCTGTGAGTTCGAGCCCTGTGTTGGGCTCTGTGCTGACAGCTCAGAGCCTGGAGTCTGCTTCGGATTCTGTGTATACCCCTCTCTCTGCCCTTCCCCTGCTCATACTGTCTCTCAATAATAAATAACCGCTAAAAATATTTAAAAAATAAAATCTGAAAAAGAATTAAATAAAGTGCTTGATGACCAGATAGATGATCAGCATTAGTACTTTAGGCAGTATGTAAACTTCATTGCTATTTCTTTCTTAAGGAATTTATCGTGGTTTAGAGTATTAGCTTTCCTTTCACTGGTATATACCAATAACATTGCTAAAGAAAAAAGTGGACTTGGGGCGCCTGGGTGGCTGAGTCGGTTAAGTGTCCGACTTTTGCTTAGGTCATGATCTCGCGGTTCGTGGGTTCGAGCCCCGCGTTGGGCTCTGTGCTGACTGCCAGCACAGAGCCTGGAGCCTGTTTCAGAGTCTGTATCTCCCTCTCTCTCTGACCCTCCCCTGCTCACGCTGTCTCTCTCTCTCTCTCTCCTAGAAATAAATAAAAATATTAAAAAAAAGAAAAAAAGAAAAAAATGGACTTAGTTTTAATTATTCTAGAATTGTAGAAATAAGAGGCTTCTTTTATGGTCAACAGGTCTATCTGATTTTAAAAATGAGGAAGTAGAAACAGATTAAGTGATTTACCTAAGGCAACACGGTTAGTAGATGTCAAAACTGAGCCAAGAGCCAGATTTTCCCAACTCAATTCATTTCTCTTTTTCTGGCACTTTGTTGCCCTTTCCCCTACTGCTCAATTGATATGGTTAGCACTCTATTAATCACAGTGGAAGATATTGGGAAAATATGAAACATAACTTCTTCCTCAAGGATATGATTAAGTACCAAAGAAAATGACATAACGAAGGCTGTAGTGGTGCAGAAGAGGAAAGATCAGAATGATCCTGTGTGAGTGGGTAGTCTCCTCGGGGAAAATGAGCATGAGATGGGGTTTTGAAGAATGTGTGTGTTTAGGAGAGGTCTTAGGAAAGTTTCCTTTTAGGAAGGAGTTACAGTATAAGTAAGGACACAGAGATGGGAATGAGTTCATTCTTCCTTTTCTCCCTCCTTCCTTTACATATTAGTTTTCAATAAGCAGATATTTACAACACTTGCTATGTACTAGAAACTGGGGAGACAGCAGTACAGTCCTTACACTCAAGTAGCTTAAACCAAGTGACTTTTAGAGAGAGAGGATCTGTTTACAGCACAGAGAAATTGAGAGAAATTTACAAAGATGATGTGATACTCCATTGTGGAGATTCTCAATTGTCTAGCTCATCCCTGTTTAATGCAAATGTGAGTTTCATGTGTAATTTGAAGTTTCTAGTAGGCACATTTAAAGTAAGAAGAAGTAAAAAGAAATAAAAGGCGAAATTAATTTTTAAAATATATTTCTTTTGATCGTATATCTAAAATATTTAATATAAAAATTACTAATGATATATCTTACATTTTCTCTCTCTCTCTCTCTTTTAACTAGGTCTTTGAAATCTGGTGTATGTTTTGCACTAACACCATAACTCAATTTGTACTAACCATATTTCAACTATTCTATAACCCTATGTCACTAATGGCTACTGTATTGGGTGGTATAGGCCTAGCTGAATACATACTTAACTTTTAACTTTTTATTTGGATCGAGTTTCAAACTTAGAAAAAGTTGCAAGAATAAAATAATACAAGGAACAGTTAAAAAAATTTTTTAAGGTTATTTATTTATTTTGAGACAGAGGATAGGGGAGGGGCAGAGAGAGAGGGAGAGAGAGTGAATTCCAAGTAGGTTGTCAGATGTGGGGCTTGAACTCATGAACTGTG